GCTGTGAGCTCCCTGACTCCGAGGTTCCGCCCGGAGTGTGGCGTCTCCCGGAGGTGACACGTGTTCCCCTGGGCTCGAGTGTGCGGACAGAGGCGTAAAATGCACCCCTTGTGACCGGGAAAGACGCACGACGACCCACCACCACCCCTTGCCCCCAGGTGGGAAAGGGCGCTCCGGTGCAGACTGCGCACCTGGGGGAGGCAGGTGATTGACCCCGCTTTGCGCGCGGGCAGCTGGCGAGACCTCGGCACCTGCCTCCGCCGGGGCCCCGCCCTCACTGATGAATTTTCCACAGCGATGAATTTTCCACAGCCTTCCCCCCCACCTGGGAACCCCAGCCGGCCCGCTTCCGGGCCCTCGGGCGCTGGGCTGCTTCGAAATTACGGAGACCAGCTTCGGCTCTGCCGACCTGGCTGGTTCCTCGCAGGTTTGGCAAGCCGATTCGATTCGGTGCCAAGGTCCAGCCCTTGCACCCATCCTCCTGCATCTGCAAAATGGCTACTTCTCCGGAAACGATACGGGGTGGGTGTGAGGGTGGCTCAGGTCCGAAGGTCGGGGTTCACAGATGATGTTGGTGGATGACAATAAGATGCCCGATTTTGTTTACATGCAGGCGTGTGGGGTGCAAAATTACAACACTGTGTTTTTCTTCTTCCAGTTCTCTCTACCCAAGCCCCTGGAGGAGGTTACTGAAAAAAACGTGTATGGGCAAGGAACGCATTTACACTGAAAAGTCATCCTTCCTTTCCCCCACATCCTTTCCTTACTGCCCTCGCAGAACAGCACTTGGGACAGGCGACAAAGAGCCAGAATCCCTTTGATTTGGTGGTACCCAGAATTGGAAGGACTTAGATTTTATCTCCCTGGCTTTTTTTGAGACTGGCACATAAGTCACCCTGAAACTATTCCTTGCTCCGTGTGAAACCACTAGCGAGAAGTGATGGAGGAAGAGTGTGGGTGCTGAAAGCTCTTCTTATTGAGACCCAAGTTGGAATCTGAGACGAAGCAGCTGCTTTTCCAACTGACTGACTAGGAATGTATATTATTCAGCAGCAATGGACATGGACGATGACCACCGTGCTATGTGGTCCTAAATGATGAAAACAGAACAAACTACTGTGCTGTGGTATCCTCAGAATCTACCTGCAGCCTGGCGCACCGCAAGTGCTCAGTACAGGTGTAGGGTTCACTTCAGATGCTAAGGATGCAACCCCCGACATTGTGTTACATTGTCATTTTCTAAGTCTGTAAAAGGTTAAAGACTAAAAAAGCATCTGCACGCATTTCAAACCCTTCCTGTTGAGTTTACTCCAGTTCATAGCCCTACAGCCCAGAGTAAAAATCTCCTCTAGGGTTCCCAACCCCTGTACTCTACAAAAGCCTGCTGCCACATCTTTCTCTGGGCTGGTGAGTTCTAACCCCCCATCTATAGATTAACAGCCTAAAATGTAGAGAGCCATCAAACCCCATTGCCTCCAAGTCCATTCTGATCTGATAGAGGGCCCTAAGACTGCAAATCTTTAAGAGAACTACTTAATCTTTCTCCCAAGGAGCAGCTGGAGAGTTTCAACCACTGACCTTGACAGTGAACAGCGTTGATGCTATCTAATCAGTTCCAACTCCTATGGGCCCTGTGTCCAATAGAAAAAGCACTGGCCAGCCCTGCACCCTACTCACACTTGCAGTCAATGCTCACACTTCTTCCTCGTTTCCACTGACCCTCTACCAAGCATGATGTCCTTCTCCAGGAACTGGCCCCTCCTAGTAACATTTCTCACTATCCGTGCTTCTAAGGAGGAGTCTAGCCGGACTTCCTCCAATATATATTGATTTGTCTTCTGGCAGTCCACAGTACTTTCAATATGCTTCCTACTTACTGCCTCACAAGCATTATTTGGATGTCTGACTGGGGCAAGGAGGCCCAGCCCTTGTTCTTATCTTCCTGCTCATTTTGTTCATAGTCTTCCCGCTCCAAAGCCTAACGTTACCCAGCTGCTCCGCCTCTCACTGCCTTGATCTTCACTGCCTCCATCTGGTTTCCAAATAAGACTATCAGCACCTATTTATTATGCATCTTCTATGTTCCAAGACAATGACGATCAGCTGAGCCTGCACCTCAGCTAGAAAATTCCAGGTATGCGGTTTGCAGTTGATGAAACCAGCATCTAATACAAAGGTGTACAGACTTACCTAGAATAGTGTTTTAAAATGCAGACACCCAATTCTGGCTGAGATTCTACTTTAAGACATCAGAGGTGGAGAACCCTGAATCTACATAGTGTGCTATATTCTGTTATGCACACAGATAGAGGTGAGAACGGGGAAACTTCGTCACATATTTGGACATGTTCTCAGGAGGGACTAGTTCCTGGAAAAGGACATCATGCTTGGGTCAGCAAAGAGAGGAAGGAAACAGGAAACAGGTCTACTCTCCTATACTCCTGAAAAGCCTATCGGCAGTCAGCAGTGTGGTATATTTCTCCTCTTAGATAGAACTGCTCCTTTCTGCCTCTGCCTTTGCTCCCCTGCTGCACGCACCACCACGTCTCACAACATCCTCAAAGTAGTTATTGCTCTGTTCTATTCATTTCTAATTAATTGTACACACACACAACAATAAGCACCTTGAAGGCAGGATTAAACTTTAAAGAGGTCTCTCCAGCATATGATACCGAGCAGGCAAACAGGCATGAACCGACTAAAATGCCCATCATCTTTGCTCTCGTTACTGAGATAACTCTCAAGTGGGTCTCCTATTTTTTGCAAGTATTATATTCCTAAAAAATAATTTTGAGCAAGTACTCCCTTGCTTAAAACTCTTCAGAACTTTCTTGTTGCTTCCAGGATATGTACAATCATTAGCATCATCGGGCCTTCATAACTTGGCCTCAACCCACCCTCCAGCCTTGACCCACACTGCCTTCACATGTATCTTTATTTATGCATCGGCTTCCATTTCCTCAATTTTTTCAGTTTCAACTCTTGAAGTGTAATTTATGTAATGGGTGTAGTGGGTTATGATGAGCATATTTTAATAAAAATGGAATACGAAATATTGAAGGACAGAGCACATGGCAGATATATGATGCCAAAAAATACTACAACGTTCCAAAAAGCTTCGTTAAACAATATACCAATGTGAAGCCATTGCTTTTTGATCTATCCTCCATTCCTAAGGGTTCACAAAATTTTTGATTCTGTGGTAGTTATATGTGTCACACTTAAAAGTTCCTTCTTACTAAGGAAGTCACTGTAAATGGAAAATTCATCAAGGACTAATTTGTTTTATTATGATGATGATGACATTTTGCAGTACTTTTCACAGTACGTTTCAAGCCATTGTAAATACTTGTAAAAATAAAAGGACTAAACTGAAGGAATAGCAGAACTTAAAAAAAAACAACAGTAGAGCTGCACCAACCACTGATAAGCAGTGTGGCCTTCATTTTTTTTTTTAACCCCCGTACTTTTATTGGGGGCTCTTACAGCTCTGATCACAATCTATATCACAATCCAGTGTGTCAAGCACATTTGCACATATGCCACCGTCATCATTTTCAAAGCATTCTCTTCCCACTTGAGTCCCTGATATCAGCTCCCCAATTCTTCCCCTTCTCTCCCTCACAAACCCTTGATAAGTTATAGATTATTATTTTCATATCTTACATCATCTTCCATCACCCCTCACCTACTTTTCCATTATTTTTCCCCCTGGGACCTGGTTCTTTAATCGTGCATTCTTTTCAGAATTGGGACTTTTTAAAACTGCTGCGGGATGCGGGACAAATTGTTAAAAATCGGGATGTCTGGTCACCTTATTCTAGATTGATCCTTGTGATCGATGCCCCCTTTCTCTCCCCACCCTCCCCTAATCCTCCTGGTATGTCTACTCTCATTGTTGGCCCTGAGGGGTTTATCTACCCTAGATTCCCTGTGTTCAGGCTCTTATCTGTAGCAGTGTACATGCTCTGGTCTAATCTGATTTGTAAGGTAGAATTGAGGTCATGATAGTGGGGGGAAGGAAGGACCAAAGAACTAGAGGAAAGTCGTGTGTTTCATCGGTGTTATACTTCACCCTGACTGGCTCATCTCTTCCCTGTGACCCCTCTGTGAGGAGATGTCCAATTGTCTACAGAGGGGCATTGAGTCTCCACTCTATGCCGCCCCCAACCCTATTCACATTGGGTATGATTTTATTCTGGGTCTTAGATGCCTGATACCTGATCCCATCAACACCTCGTGATCGCATAGGCTGGTGTGCTTCTTCCATGTGGGCCTTGTTGCTTCTCAGCTAGATGGCCACTTGTTTATCTTCAAGCCTTTAAGACCCCAGACGCTATTACTTTTGATAGCTGAGCACCACCGGCTTTCTTCACCACATTTGCTTATCTGCACCCATTTTGTCTTCAGTGACTGTGTCAGGAAGGTGAGCATCATGGAATGCCAGTTTAATAGAACAATGTGTTCTTGCATTGAGGGAGTACCTGAGTGGAGGCCCAGTGTCCATTTGCAACCTTAATTCTTAGCATATACATATGAATACATAGTTCGATTCTCCTCTCATTTTATATATATATTTACATATGGACATGCCTGTATTTAGACCTCTATAAAAGTCCTTTGCCTACTGGTTCTTTCCTCTATTTCCTTTCACTTTCCTCTTGTCCCACCGTCATGTTCAGCCTTCATTCGGGTTTAGTAATTCCTCGTTGCTGCATTGCCCTTGATTAAACCCCACTAGGCATCCTACGTCCTTCTTTCCATTGATTTTAGTTCATTTGTTATTCCCTCATCCCTGGGTTGGTTCCCCCCAACCCCTACCCCTTCCTTTCTCTCACCTCACCTTCTCCTTTATCACCACTGGAACCATTAGTCCCGTTCTTTTCATCTCTGAATTATTTATCCTGCCTGTCTTATCTAGATAGACAGGAAGATACATTAGTGAATGCAAATACCAGGCAAAGCCAAATAAAACAACAAAGGAAATCAAAACCAACAACAGCAACCAAAAACAAAACAAAATAACAATAACAAAAAGAAAGCCACTGATAAAAATGAAAAAGCTGATAAATAGTTCAAGGTCTATTGGTCTTTGTGAGTGTTTTCCAGTTGCATCTGATGGGGTGCCACACTCTGTGTCCAAAGTCTATTTTTGGTATTCCCCGGGGATTTCATCACTTTGCTACCCTTGCTGCTCTGTTGCATGCCCTTAGTGTTTCGCCCCAGCCTGATGGGGTCAGATTGTGCACTATTCCCACACTGTGTCTCCAGTGTTGTCCCCCGCAGTGCTAAGGTTTGGTGAGGGACATCATGTCTCCTGGTGGGGTTGGGCCTATGGTCCTCTCTGTGCGTTGTCTGCTCCGAGCTGGAATATTGTCCTCAGGGCTTGGTGGGCCAGGATGTCCTCTCCTCCCTCTCCATCCCTTTGCATTTCTCCTATGTGCTCTAATCTGACGCACCCCTCTCCTCAAGCTGTAGCCCAAGTGCTGCCCTCTGAAATGCATTCTTCTGAGGGGGATGGGGGGGTGTTAATTTGGCCTTCTTATGGCCCTACAGAACTGCCTCACTTCTCCCATATTATCACAGCTTGCACTCTTGGACACACCGGGAAGTACTTGAGTTTTGAAGACAAGTTTCCACTACTGCCTCACTATCAATCCACAAACTTCTATTGAGCATACCTGGGATAAATACCTGTCTTTGACCTTCAAGGGAGCCTGACATATTAAAGGTTCAGTCTGAGGACCAGGACAAGGATAAGGCCGGAGAAATGTCTGTTAAGTGCTCCCAAGTCAGTTCTGACAACCGTAGGAAACACTGCCTGCTCCTGCCCTCTCATCACTGCCTTTGCTATGCCTGAGCCACTGTGTCGATCCGTCTTGTTGAAGGTCTTCTTTTTTACTGACCCTCTGATTCACCAAGCATGATGGTCTTCTCCAGGGGCTGTTCTCTTCTACTTGAGAGGAAGTCTCGCCATACTGGTTCTTAGGAGCCTCCAGCTACACTTTTTCCAAAGCAGATGTATTTGTTCTTCTCAAAGTCCATGGTACTGTCAGTATTCTTCACCTACACTTTAATCAGAGGGCATTCATTATTCTCCGGTCTTCACGTTCACAATTGAATGTGACATGACTCGGGGCAGGCACACCTGAGTCCTCACAATGACATCGCTGCTTAAGAGGTCTTGTGCAGAAGATTTCCCAGTGCCGTACATCGCTTGATGTCCTGTCTCCTACTTCCTGAGAGTTGATTGTGGATCCAAGTAGAAGGAAACCCTGGACAACTCCATT